CCTCCTTCCCCCCTCCCCAGCTCATTCTGCCCAAAGCAGTGAAGACTGTGTACAGCACACTCAGCACCAGGGAAATGTCCACGCCGGAGCAGCCTGCATAGATCCAGCTGCTTTCTGTGCATGTGTGTGTGTCTGTCTGTCCATCTGCCCATCCATTAGGACATCTTCTACAACTCCCTGCTCTTCTTGTCCCTCACAGCCCCCACTTATGTGTTACCATCCGCCTCCACTCTCTACTTCACTGTCTTAATTTTCTTTTAATTTATTTTTTTTTTAAAGTCTCTTTCCACTTTCCTAGAGGTGCAGCCCCCTGGGCAGAGGAGCCCCCCTCCTCTGTCATGCCCCCCATCTTCCGCGGGCCACTTGCTGAGTAGCTCGTGAGAAGGCAAAAACAGGAAATGATGCCCTAGTCCTGACTAAGCAAAAAAAGCATCTGGACAAAAATCCCTCGGTGGACGGATTTCTTCAGTTCTCAAAAATTAGGGCCCTGGAAGCGTGGCCCGCAGCTCTGAATGTGCTTGGTCATTTCCTCTGCACATGTAGAGCCTCCGCGACCGCGAGGGAGGGCTGGGGGGAAGGGGGAGGAAGGTACTGGAAACGTTTTAAGTCGACCACAAGGCAGGACAGGAAATTCTGGAGGGGGCGTTTTTGTTTGAATCCCTGGGAAACTGCGTCCTTCACGAAACGCCCGTCCAAGCTCCCTTGCACTCTCGTGCCCGGGGGACCCAGGGGGACATGTAGCAGTTGCTTTACACGACCTGCCCAAAAAGTGCCACCCTGTCACCTGCAGCCTTCGGTTGGTCCCAGCCTGAGGGTAACCTCGTGAGCGAGGCCCCACCGGCCGCCTTGCGCTCCCCTCTTCTCCTCTCACTCTAGGGACCTCCGCGGGCTGTTGCTGGCACCACCAGGAAGGTCTGAGCCATTAAATACGCAGGACCTCCTCACCTGCAGGACAACCAGGGAAGCAGACCCCCGGGGCTTTGCTTGAAGACACGCAGGACAGTGGGCGATCCCCACTCCTCCCAACCAACAGCAGCCTTCGGTGTGGCGCTCGATTTCTCAGCAGAGCTGATGCTGGCCAGAGAAAACCCTTGGCAGGAAAAGAGAAAGCACGTCAGGTCGGGCGCAGGCTCGCCTAGCACGTGCAGAGCCCGACCCCATCCCCAGCTCCACGCAGTTTTAGCACGTGTTTTTTAACAACAAAAGGTAAAAAGGAAGAGAGAGAAAGAAGGAGAGAAGGAGGGAGGAGAGAGGGAGAGAGGGGAGGGGGAGGGGAGGAAGAGGAAGAGAGGGAGGAAGACAGGAAGGAAGACAGGAAGAAAGCAAAAAAAGGAAGAGGAAAAAAGGCTAGATAAAAGGGTTGAAAGAAAATGACCACAATGCCGGCGATACAGCTCAGTGGCAAAGCGCTTGCCCAACATGCAGGAAGCCCTGGGTTTGACCCCCAGCAGAGCAAATAAATAGCAACCTATAATTCTACATCCAATTAAAAAAAAAAACCATCAGAGGAGCTGGTGAGATGGCTCAGTGGTCTAAAGCACCTACTTAGAACAAGCTTAGCAAAGCACAGGGACCACGGTTCAATCCCCCAGCACCACATGCCAGCCAGCCCCGCCCCCCCTGGTGGGCTGAGCTGGCCACACACACACACACACACACACACAAATAAAATTAAATTAAATTAAATTAAATTAAAAAAAAAACATCAGAATTCAAGGAGACTTAAGTACACTTTCAGAAAAATAAAAAGTAAGTTAACACACCACCAGCAAACCCCTATGTTAAAACAAAAATACAAAAAGAAGAGTTGTGGGCCAACCAAATAGCTCAGCAGATTAAAGCACCTGCAAGCAGGCGCAGAGCCGGAGTTTTAATCCCTCCTGGACTGCAGGCCCCGCCCCCAGGGCACCCTGAGACAAAGATTGAGACTGGGCATGGTGGCACATTCCTGTAATCCCAGCTCTTGGGAGGCTGCAAACAGGCAGATCACTACGAGTCTGATCTAGTAGTGAGACCCTGAGCACCCTGCAGACCCTTCCCTAAAATTAAAAAAAAAAAAAAAAGAATTGTGAGGGAGAGACAATGTTCTCAGGTGGCAAAATAAAGACAGAAAGGTGAGGAAGGACAAACACGCTAGCAATTCAAAGAAGTGACAATTGTGTTAGGGTGACAAAGTCACTGGGGTTTTAAAGATATATATATCTTTATATGTATATAAAGATATATATAGATATATATATATATGTACAGGTTTCACTACACAGCTCAGACTCATAGTGATCATCTTGTTTTCAGCCTCCCCAGTTCTGGGATTACAGGCATGCACCACGCCCGGTCTCAGTGGCTGGCTCAGCCTTCCCAGGGTCAGGCCAGCATAGCATGTGGTACCAGGGATGGAACCTGATCCCTATGCTTGCCTAAGCAGGCACTTCATTCTCTGAGCTATCTCACTGGCCCGAGGTGCATATAATTTTAAAACATGGCAGCAATAGTACAAAAGATAGGCAGAGAGCAAAAGAAATTAAACATGATTTGAGCTCTTTACCCTGGGAAAAAACAAATGCACTAATTTCATTATTCTTAAGGGCCAGGGAGATGGCTCAGTAGAATAAGCACTTCCCTGGCAAACGCAAGGGCCTGAGTTCAATCCCTGGTTTCACAAAAAACCAAACCAAACAAAAAAACAGGAACCTGATCATTATTCTTAAGGATAAAAGTCACAAGCCATTTAGTAATAACAAGAAAGAAAGGAAAATCTGGCAATAAGGAGCTACAAAGAGAAATTTAATGATCCACAAAAATGCTTTATTACTTTAAAAGTTAAAAAGGAAAACTTTGAGTTCCCACGCCCAGCCCAGGGAAGTTAGAGACTTAGGCAGGCCTGATCTCAAAAATAAAAAAGAGCTGGGGATATAGCTCCGTACAAAGGCCCTGAGTTCAATCTCTGAGGACCATGAAAGAAAAACTGTTTTCTCTGTTTGTTTGTTTTGTTTTTCTGTGCTTCTGAACAATGCTGGAGAGACCTCAGTGGCCAGACCTGGATTAGCCCCACGTTGGTAGAAAGGTACAAGATTTTCAACAGTGGGGTGTCGAGTCTGATCATCCGGAGCTTCCCCACTGCTTTTCCAAGCAACTCAACTTATCACTTCCTGTCTGCCAGGCTTTATTCTAGAAGTGAAGTTCCACTAGCGTGATTTTTCCAGAAAGAACACACTTTCCCCTAGGTGAATTCTTCCACCTGTGGGTGAGGGGAGACCACCAGGTGACTTTTCCCAAAGCAGTTCCCCCTCCACATTGCATCTGACAGAGAGAAAGGGAGTCAGAAAGATTGCTCAAGTCTAAAGTTGGTTGGGGACATGGAGATGGACTCTATAAACTCCACTGGGAAGGAGATGCCTCCGAGAGGTGGGATTGCACTAAGCAGACACCGGGACCGAGGTTCCATTCCAGGTGTGTCGTGCCACCCCGCCCCCAGGTTGTGCTGAGACAGCGATTGAGATTGGGTGTGGTGGTGCACGCCTGTAATCCCAGCACTTGAGAGGCTGAACGCAGGAGGATCACTGTGTAGTACATAACCTGTGGGACACTCATCCCAGGAGCACTGCAGGGACATCGGAACTCATAGGTTGCCACCGCCAAGATCAGGTTCATGTGGCAAATGTGGGAAGACCTGCCAACTGAGGTCCCCAAGGGGTTGACTTCGAGTTCATCAGGAGAGGCTTCACCCTGCACACCCACGCTTACTGAGGCTCCACTCACGGGAGCTAAGCTCTGCAAATGGCCTCGTGCCCGCAGCAGATAACTGAGTGAAGAAATACAGTGGAGGATGATTCAGCAACAGTGAGGAACAAAATCCTGTCATTTGCAGGAAACTGGATAAAACCGAAGGCCATGGTGTTAACCACATAAGCCAGACTCAGAAGAATATGGCATTTTCTCCCACCCATGGAATTCAAAGACAAACAGACAGAAAGAGACAGACTGAAGTGACAACAGAAGTGAGACTAACAGGGAAGAGGGGGAGAAGGGGGACTGGGAGGGCGAGGGAGGCAGGGAGGGCACAGGCAAGACCCAGGTGTGTTCTGCTCAGGTGCAACTGTGCCCGCAATGCAGTCACCGAGTGTTTTAAAAGGGGACAGAGGAATTTCCCTGGGTGGGCCTGACCTAATCAGGCGGCACCTTCCAGGAGACCGAGGCAGGAGCAAATGCTGCTCCAATGTCCTGGAACAGGCAGAGCAGGACGTCACAATGGTGATGGTGCGGCTGCTGGCTGCTTCTCCTGGGATCGTCGCCACAGTGCACGCGTGTTCATTCAAGTAGACTGCGGTGCACCTGCAGCATGACAGGCCTGGCCCAAAGCGGGTGACCAGACAGCAAGACAGACAAGGTCCCTGCTGTCCCTGAGAGGAGGATGTCAGGCCAGCCAGATGTGGGAAGAGAGATCCTTCCAAAGTATGACCCCATCACCGCTCTACTCAGAACCCTAGGATGGAGGGACCCCAGAAAAAGAGAGAAGAGGGCATTGCTGTTCGCCACCTAGCTCAGAGATGGAATTGGGCAGGGCTGGAATCAGAGTCTGGGTATGTTGGGAAGCTGTGGCAGGGGGCTAGGGGACCCAATATGGGAAGCAGAGAGGGGGTCGGAGAAGTGATTCAGGCTGGGTGTCAGTGCTGTGGAAAGGTAGAGGTGTGTGTGCTGCAGTTGGGGACATTTACATATGTGACTCAACCTGGGAGTGAGCCTGTGTCCAAATGAACATGATGTTATTACTCAGTTTCCGGGATATTCCCAGGGTGAATGAATTTCCTGTTTTCATCACTGCCTTCACAGCTTGGAGGGTTCACTCGCCTTGTGAACCGTGACACCCCTCTCAACATAGCATGGTGGGCACATAGAAAAGATCCCGGGAAAGCCCAGGGAGCCAGCAGACTCCTCTGACAAGGGACAGGTGGACAGCCTGGTTCCTGGCCTCTTTTATGAGAGAATTGATTGGTTTAGTCATCAACTGACTCAGTGTGGACCAAGAGTCCACATGTGGGTAGACAGTAAATAAGAAAAGCAGAGGAGATAGCAGTGTAGGAGGAGGCACCCACTGCGAACGCTGAGCACCAAGAAAATCCTACGGGAGACCCTACAGCCCCATGTTCATGCAGGAATTATTAGGAGCCCTTAAGGGAAACTTCCCCTTCCCCCCAGAACTCATCTCTGCAGTGAACTACCTCTAATATACTGGGCTTCATACAAACCGTCCTGTCTGTGTCTCTGCAGCATAAAACAGAATCCTGTTCTCCACACCACTGCTGTGGCAGAAGTAAATCAGAGCCGAACACAAACAGTTCAAAGGAAGGCTTTCGGCACAAAATTGGCATTTGCGATTTTTCTCGTCACATTGTGTCAGACATTCCTCCGGTTGTTTTAATATTAGGAAAGTATAATTTTTTTTTAAATGTTACGGGTCCAGGAGATAGTAAAATGGTTTAACATAATTGCATCCCCCGACAGGACACTGTTCTTCTATCTTCCCTTCAGGTACTGTATTACATAAATCACTTCCTCCTCAGGAAAATGCCTGGCACATAAGAAGCACTTCACTTTTATTTACTCAATAAAATGCACACTGACCACCTGAATTCTCAAGCCCATTCAAACTTTTTATGCTTTGTGTACCAAAATTACCCTGTATACATTCCCTTTGTGTATTTTTCATAAGCTCTGTATTTGTCATTTTATGACTACAGTTGTCTCTGTCAAAGTGCAAGTAAGGTGTTTCCCTTTTTTATGGTGTAGTTGTAGATGAAATTACCACAGACCACTCTATTTTAGGTGATACCAAAGGAACGGCTTTGTAAGTGCTGTTTAGCCAATTTTTACAAAATTTCCTAAGACAAGCATGGAATATGGAGATTACTATTTCAAGCTATTACCTTTATGTTAGCAGCTAAGAATATCTCAAAAAAAATAACCAAACTGAGATTCGTTCTACAGTGGCATAGCCCCACAAAATGATGAAATCCTGCAGTGTCTGATTTTCACATTGAAACGATGCCTTTCACTCTTCCACATTAGTTGAAAAACAGCTCCTCCAATGCAGATCAATAAAAGATATGAACATTTTGAAAGACTCACTATAAATTCACTTTTAGTAGATGAAGATCTCAGCCCTAATTCTTTCTAACATTGACTTTAACAGGCTGCAGGGCAATATTTCCAGCTATTTATCAAGTTTTCTAAATCAGCACTTCCTAAAGCTTACGACCTGTTAGGTGGGTACATTCTTCCCTGTGCTGTTGATAAGGCAGAGAAGAAGGGGAAATCACCACAATCGACTTCCGGGTCACCCTCCCAGACCTCCATGAGAGACTTTCCTCACAATTTACTTCTGGCTCACCCTCCCAGACCTCCATGGGAGACTTTCCTCACAATCTACTTCCGGGTCACCCTCCCAGCCCTCCATGGGAGACGTTCCTCACAATCTACTTCCGGATCATCCTCCCAGAGCCCCTTGAGAAATCCTCGCCTTGCAATGCAGAGACAGCACCTGCTCACTGATTCTCCTAATAGCAGCCCTGGGCATAATAGTGCCTCTGCCACTTCCTACCTGGTGTCCATAGGCAAATTAATTACCAAGTCTAGGATCAGTCCGCGTCCTCCCTGCTCCTCAGCCCCTGGGTTTGATGTATAATGAATGCCATGCTGTCCAGATTGCTGCTTCTACTTTGATACCAAAGTTCTCTGAAAGTGGAAAGAAGGAAAGGAGGGAGACCATGATTGCTAAGCAAGAGATGGTGGTTTGGTGGGACAGGGCAGGGATGGAGTACTTACCTAGTACTGGGGAGGCCCCTGGGTGTGATGGCCCGCATGGAGTTGAGGGGGGAGGCAGACAGTTAGGATTGCTGTGACTTTGCTCTTCACAGAAGGTCTACAGATTTGGCTATTAACACAGAAAAAACAAACTTAGATCCTGAACAATAAAACCAATGATATAGAGATTATTACACTCTGCGCTCCCATGTATTTGATTATCAGAGGAACTCAGGGGAAATCTTCACCCTCTTTCTACACATGCGAAAACTGAGGTACAAAGAAGTCACAGAATTTTCCAGAAGCCATAGAGCTGTAGTTAAACAGAGTAGGATTCTGGATAGTGATGCTGATTCCAAAGTTTAACCACGAGGCTTCATGGCCTCCTGCCATACTGGGGACTGGAAGGGGATTCTGGGTGACAGAAAGGAGCAAAGCCCTTCTTGCTGCTTGCCTCATGATTTTCTTAGACAGGCTGAGAAGACCCAGGCCCTGCAGCCAGCTTCTGGGACCAACCCATGAGCACTGTCTACTTTTGTAAACCTAACACAGAACCTGGGTCTTCTCAGGCCTTGGCTGATCACAGGGAAGAGTTGGGTTTTCTCACCCAGATTATGCTAGATTCTTTTAACTGTGTGGAAGCCTGACATCTGATATCTGGGCTGAAGAGGGGGCGGCTCCCACAGTCCAGGCCCAGGATGCTGAGGGTGGGCGGCCTGACTCACTCTCTGTCAGCAGAGACCCCCTCCTTGGCTGTCTTCTCTTGTAAATGATTTCCAAACTGCAATTTTAAAAACAGCTCCGTTGGGGAATTATGAAAGCAATAATATTTTCGATAGAAAATTGTTGTATCAAGAGAAAAGCCTGAAAAAACAAAGTCACCCATTTCCCCATCACTCAGAGGGCCAGCACGGATGGATGTTTTCAGGCTTTTCTTCCTTTTTTATACAGAGAGACTATTTTGTTAGCACAACTGGACTCAACTACATACTGTAAATATTTTTATAACATGGATGCCGTTTTTTGAAATTAGACACTGCACTGCCACAATTTCTACATGTTTAATTTTTTGAAAAACACGATTTTTAGTAACTAACAGTTTCTGCCACGATCACAGCAATCATTTCGACACTGGTGGAATTTCCTCAGCATCTAGTATCAGGCAACCTGTGAGAGTTGGGGTTGCGTGTGGACACCACGGCTCTCTCCTACCATGTGAACACTGTTGGCTCCGCCACCAACTTTCTCCTAGCTTTCTCTATCTCAGAAAAGGTGGAATGCAAATTATCAGGGTTCGCACAGCTCCAATAAATTCTGTTGCCTACTGTAGAAGTGACACCCCCACCCCGCCCCCCCAAACCCCCGGGAAGAAGCTAAAATGTCCTTTGATTGAGCACATGGGTCATTCCAACTCAAAGCAAACCAGCCAAGAAGTTTCCTTGGACGCCCTCCTGCCGGACCCCGGCCTTCCGTTGCCCTGAGTTCCTCTTTCCTTAACTTTGATTTCAGCTTTTTTACCTCCCAGTTACTCCTCACTATGGTGTAATGTATCCTCCGCTCCCAAGTTGCTGCTGAAATAGCTGTTGCAAAACACCACATCCACTGTCCTATGCTCTGAATTAATGTTCCCTTTCACAAGGGATACAGAAATGCATTTTCTTTGTTCAAATTCTAACCAACCATGGAACGACCAAGGTCAGGGCTGGGGAGAGATTTCAGAGGAGTGCGCTCGCCTAGCCTGCACAAAGCACTGGGTTCGATCCCCAGCACCACCAAAGAAAGAAAGACACTTCCTTTTTGCCGCTTATTCCCAGTCTCGTAAAGGTTCCCACCGGGAGAAGGATGCGTAGTCAGGCTGATGCGTGGCGTTGTCTCTGCGGATCAGGGCATCACACCCCATATGCTGTTTTGCTCCGACGTTTTCCTTCCCTGTTGCCTTTCTGACCCTTCCCAGGCACCGCGGCACGGTCAGCCCGTGGGGTCACTATTGGGTCCATCAGTCCCTGGGAGCACCGGTTCTCTCGCAGCGCACCTCTGGGTCTTTACCTGGACGATTCCCCAGCTCGCGCCTGGCCTCGGAGCCCTTCCACCTGCGCTCTCTCTCTTCTACTGGTCAGCGCTGCAGTTATTGTAGTCTTCGTTACAACACAAAAACAATGCACCAAAGGGCGCCCCAGATCCTGGCTCTGTGCTCCCCGGGGAACTTCTTTTCGGCAGGGCACTGAGCGTGTGCTTCCCGCCTTCAACATTCACAGCCAGCGCTGCTCCGAGCCCCTCGCACCGTGGGCTCCCGGGCCTCTAATTCTTACCCCGCTCACCTGCCTGTTGCCTTTCCGCTCTCTGGGCTCCTCTGTGCTAACCCCCCTTGCCCGTCTTCCCTTCTCTGTCTGGGGCCCACTCAAGGCCACGGCTGCCCTCGGTGCTCCAATCAAGGTCGATGTGCTGGTACCAGAGGTCTTCCCTCAGGTCTGTGAATCTCTCCTGCAGTGACTGATGAATTTAAGCTTGCTTGAGACAACAGAGTTCAGTCTTTTTTTTTTTTAATTTATTTGTGTGTGTGTGTGTGTGTGTGTGTGTGTGTGGCCAGCTCAGCCCACCAGGGGGCGGGGCCGGCTGGCATGTGGTGCTGGGGGATTGAACCGCGGTCCCTGTGCTTTGCTAAACTTGTTCTAAGTAGGTGCTTTAGACCACTGAGCCATCTCACCAGCCCCCAGAGTTCAGCCTTAAGGAACTAGCGCCGAAGCGCTGCGTGGAGAGCTCCGGACTCGCCTACAGCGGCCGGAGGACGGACGCGCCTCACTCATCTAAAACCCCTTCAAAATGCAAAGCTCATCCGGCAGGAATGCCGCTCACGTCCTAAGCCCGCGCACGCAGAGGCGCTCACACAAGCACACGCAATTCCCCCTTAATTGTTATCTTTCTGATGTACACATTTAATTATGATATGTAGTCATTGTTTACTTCATGGTAATTAGTTATTAAAAGTTGCTCAAATAAACCACTGAGTTAGGGTTATTATTGGAACACTAGCTAAAAGGTTTAATTTTTGTATTTGTTTTGTACAAAGAGCGACTGATAGAATTATTTTTTAAATTCACAGCAAAAGACACTGTCTCAGTTACTATTCCCAGCGCTGAGACTCATTCCTGACACCCATGTGCTAAAGGAGAAGGGGTTTATGTTGGCTCACGGTTTATGGAGATTTCAGTCCGCATTCAGCGGGCCCCACGGCGGCGCCGCGAGGAAGTGCTAGGTCCCCTCCATCTCCTTTCCACCTGATTGTGTTGGCGAGGCCAGGTGCGCAAGACAGCGCGGCAGAAGGTGCTCCAGGAGTGAACGGTAAGTGCTGTTCAGCCTTCAGCACACGCCAGCGGCTTGCAGCAGATTCCTGAGCTCGTGCCTGCTGGCCCCGGAGGAGGCGGCAAAGCTGCGCCTCCAAGCAAGCAGAGCAAAAAGGGCTCGCCCGAGGATCAAAACAGCCGGGGAGACAGCTCAGTAGAATAAGCATTAGCCTGGCAAGCGCAGGGTCTTGAGTTCAATCCCCAGTAAAAAAAAAAAAAAAGCCAAGGATCACAGCAGTGAGGGGTAGCACACAGAGCAGAACACCATGGCTGTGAAAAAGAGCCGATTGAAAAGCAAGCAGAAAGCCTGACAAAAGAACTAAGCGTACTGGCATGCGCACAACCGTTAGCACTAAAGGTACAAATGCAAGCTCCGATGCTGCGGGGCAGGAGGCCTCGTCCTTTCCACACTCACAACTGTGGCTTGGACCCTAAAGGTGTGGCCCCTACACACCCAGGTTCACAGCTGAATGTGTCTTTGGAGGTTATTTTCTAGGATCTGCACTGAAGAGTTAATCGGTCGTGTGTCATTTAAATACCTGGCTTTAAATGATGTGAATTTTTGTGGGAATTGAGAAGCAAAAAATTTCAAGGAGGAATGGGAAGCTGGAAGGTTATGCAGAAGGTTCTCGGTTTTAATAGATGTAAATGATTGTATCAGGAAAAGCTGAATTCCATCTGTGGCTTTTTTGTTTTTGTTTTTTGTTTTTGTGGTACCAGGGATCAAACTCAGGGCCTTGCGCTTGCTTGCCAGGCTCCATCTGTGTTAATTTTGTGATTTCTAAATTATCAGAAGGGGCCACGGAGATGGCTCAGTGGAATAAGCACTTCCCTGGCAAGCACAAGGGCTGAGTTCAATCCCCGCCCCCCCCAAAAAAAACCCACTAAATTATCATAGGGCTATAGAAATCAATTGTTTTATAATTTGGACTGATTTTTGATGTCAGATTAAATAAACTCCATCATATCTTAAAGGCAATATGCAGTGGAGTGGCTTAACAATAGAAATAACAAAAAGTAAAGCATAGTGGGATTGTGATTTGGGAGATCTTTGGGTTATTCGATTGGTATTACTTCATGTCTTAAAGAAGCAACCCTCATTTATGTTTCTGTAGAAGCTAGTAAACGAAGTTGTTTGTTTTTTCATGCCATTTTGATAGACAAGTTAATAAATAAAATGTCTAAACAGTTTTTAAAAATAATAATAAACATTCACCGTATTTTTTGAGTGTCTTTCATTGATCCAGTGCTGATGACAATTTCTGTCACGAACATTAAGGCTTGTCCTCATTCACTGTATTCACCGCATCTGGCCCCTGTGGCTTCTGGCTTTTCCCCCAAGTGAAACTGATCATAGAAGAGAAATGTGTTGAACTGAAGCAGCCGCGACAGCGCAACTAAAGACACTCGCAAAGGAGGCCTTCAGGGACCGCTTCAGAAGGTAGCGAAATGATGGCACGAATGTGCTCAGAGAGAGGAGGGGCATTTTGAAAATTAATGACAATGTGCCTTTTACTGTGATAATTTTTTTTTTAATTCAACACATTCAATGTTCTTTAATTTTTTTTTTTTTTTTTTCTCAGAACCGGGGATTGAACTCAGGTCCTTGAGCTTGCCAGGCAAGTGCTTATTCCACTGAGCCATCTCCCCGGCCCTCAGTGTTCTTTAAAGCCATCCAAAAAAAAAAAACCATCTTCTAATGATGCCTACTTGGTATCCAGTTTTGCCTTCTTTCTTAGGGACAGAGTATCAATTTTCCTGTAGAAGAGCTTTTAAAACTACATTTCCC